ACACACACACACACGCACACACACACACACACACTCACACACACACATTCACACACACACTCACACTCTCACACACACACACACACACACACACACACAGAGACACCACACATGCACACACACACAGGCATACACACAATGCTCCAAATATTCTCCTGTGCAGCATGGAAGTCAGACAATGTCCAACTGGACAATAAACAGCCACTGACAGTGGGGAATGTCCCTGCCCTGTGCTCCTTGGTGCTGCCAAGGACGTGCAGCCTGAGCTCCTCAACAGCTCAGATGTCCTGCTGCTCGGAAAACAAGATGCTCTTGTTCTCTACTGAAAGTTAAAATCATCCCACCTGAATCTGAATCTATTTTAATGTGTATGGTATAACAATTATAAAGCTAACAGAAGTATTTAGTAAGTAGGGTATTTACCCATTCTTGAATAAAATTATATGGTTTCGTGTTACAATAGCAGCATCTGCAAACAGATCTGGGTCACACGTCTGTGGCTGATCAGTTGTAGTCTCGCCTGTTGTCTGGGTTCCAGTTGAGCTTGTTGTCTGGGTTCCAGTTGAGCCTGTTGTCTGGGTTCCAGTTGAGCCTGTTGTCTGGGTTCCAGTTGAGCCTGTTGTCTGGGTTGTAGCGTCTGTTGTTACAACTTTAACTCCTAAATTGAAAGAAATATGGTTTAAAATCACATGAAATTCAAGGAAGTAATGAAAAAAGTTTATGAAGTGAGTATAATAATTTGGAACACTGAAGGAAAGGTTGATTGACACTTTAAATTTTTTTCACCTTTACTTTTCTCAGATCTTTCAGCAAATGTCCCAGATTTCACCATACCATCACCTGGGTATGCTCTATTCGATCAACAAACCTTAGATGGCATCACAAATGTATTGAATTAGGAGGGAGTATTCTAGGAATACTCAACATTTGCTTGGACTCCATTAACTTCATGGTGGAAGGTTAAACATAAACAAAGAAACCTCCTTATGATTACTTACACTGGCCAAGTTAGTTGATAATTCAATACCTCTCAATGTTGAATACCAACAGCAACAAACATTGAAGGCATAAAAGGCAAGAAATGTACTTTGCTTAGGAGCTTTTAATGTCCATCAGTAACAGTGCCTAGGATCCTGCAGCAGTAGTGTGTTACAAGTGCAACGTTTTATACGGTAGATATATTTTAGAATGCCACTTTATTTCAAAATAGAATAGAGCAATGTGATCCACTACTGGTTTTGTTTCATGACTCATCTAGCTGGCCTGGTTATCAAAGGCCAACAGATTCAGATCTTTAATTGAAAGTCAGATACCAGGTTTAACACCTAACTACAAAGAACAGAGAAGCTGACTTTGTATTGAGTAGACTTACAAACGCTCAGTTAGTCATTTCAATGACAAAAACAAAGTTGCTGGAAAAGCTCAGCAGGTCTGGCAGCATCTGTGGAGGAGAAAACAGAGTTAACATTTTGGGTCTGGTGACCCTTCCTCAGAACACTGGACCCGAAACATTAATTCTGTTTTCTCCTGCACAGATGCTGCCAGACCTGTTGAGCTTTTCCAGCAACTTTGTTTTTGTTCCTGATTTACAGCATCCACAGTTCTTTTGGTTTTTTTTAGTCATTTCAGTGACTTTGGAAATGGGGAGAGAGAGAGAAAGAGAGTGACAAAAAGAGAAGAGGCATGTGGAAGAATGCCAAGTCTTACAATAAACATTTGGAAGACAAAGGTCCTTGACCAGCATAGCACTGTCATCTATCAAGATCCACATTGAGCCACTGGACAGTGGGCATCAATTTCCATAGGCTGCAGGAGCCTCTTCAAAGTGAGGGTAAGCATTGGTAATGAAATGGAACACCATCTCCAGTGAAGCAGTGCAGCCTTCTGATCATCTGAAGAACAGAGAATTGGTAACAAAAACCTCACACCTGACACCAAACTCAAGCACAGGTGATACCAGTGCTGCTGAAGGCATCAGAGAAATGGGCAATGCCCAATGCACCTCAAGTCCCTTGACAAATATCATGAACAACACTTTTGCAAGATCCTGCAAATCCATTGGCAGGATAGGCACTCCAGTGTTAGTGGTCTCTCTTGGGACAACATTCCCAACATTGAGGCACAGGTTACAATCCTTCAGCTTTGTCGGGAGGGCCACATCATTTGCATGCCTGACACCAAATATCCAAAGCAAGCTCTGTACTCCAAGTTTCCTCAGTGGTTAGCAGGAGGGCATCCTCAAAGCCTCCATGTGAAAATCTATCAGCCCCACCAACTCGAGGGAATATCTAGCCCAAGACCCCTCAAACTGTAAAAAGAAACATGCACAAAGGGACGAAGTACCACAAGAATTTCTGACAAGCCCATCTGTATTCAGTGGAAGGACTGTGTGAAAACCCAAACGTTCCCCCTATCCCTCTCTTCAGACAGCACCTGCCCCAGCTGTGGCAGTGTGTGTGGGTCAACCACTGAACAGTTTCATCAGCCCGGGACTCACAACTCCAAGGCAGAAGAAAGTCCTCCTTGGAGTTAACCAAATGTAACTACTAATTCAAATATCTTTTGCTCAAACATAAGTCAGAAATGGAAATATTTTCTCATGAGATAGTGTGGTGGAAAGTTGCTTTTCAGATTGAGGCCTGTGACCAGCGGTGTGGTGTGCTGCAGACAGCGGTGATGGGTCCACGGCTTTTTGTCATTTATATAAATGATTTGGATATGAACATAGGAGGTATGGTTAGTAAGTTTGCAGATGCCACCAAAATTGGAGGTGTAGTGGACAGCAAAGAAGGTTATCTCAGAGTCCAATGGGACCTTGCTCAGATGGACCAATGAGCTGAGGAGTGGCAGATGGAGTTTAATTTAGGTAGATGTGAGGTGCCACATTTTGGAAAGGCATAACATGGCATGATTTATACACTTAATAGTAAAGTTCTGGGGAGTGTTGCTGAACAAAGAGACCTTGGAGCATACGTTCATAGATCTTTGAAAGTGGAGTCGCAGGTAGACAGGATAGTGAAGGCAGCGTTTGGTATGCTTGCCTTTATTGGTCAATGCATTGAGTATAGGAGTTGGGAGGTCATGTTGCACTGTACAGGACATTAGTTAGGCAACTTTTGGAATACTGTGTGCAATTCTGGTCTCCCTGCTAAAGGAGTGCAGAAAAGATTTACAAGAATGGTTACAGAACTAAGGGACTTATGAGGAGAGATTCAAGCCACCGAGGATGTTCTCCTTAAAAAAGATTGATAGATTTGATAGTAGTGTTGAAAATCACGATGAATCAAGGTAGATTAGATAGAGACAATATCCCACCGGCATAGGGGTCAAGAATTAGAAACCATTGATTTAAGGCAATAGCAAAAGAACCAAAAGAAACATAAGAACTTTTTTACACTTTGATTGTTTAAGGTCTGGACTGCAATGTGTGAGAGTATGATGGGGAAATCTCAACCACAGCCTCCCAAAGGGAATTGAGTTAACGCTTTGAAAGAAAATAAGTTACAGGATTACAGGAAAAGGATGGTGGGAGAGGGGGCATTGGCGGGTTTGGGGAGGAGTTGGGAAGTGGGACTCCCTGAAATGCTTCTACAGAGTCTCTGAGTGATTATGACAGGCTGACTCGTACTCTGTTGTACTGTAAGCTGTCTCTGCTTCTATATAAATTCAGCAGGACGTTCTGTACAGGTTTCTTCCAATGCCCTGCATAAATTAGCCTGGAAAGTTGACAGAAATCCCAGAAAAAAATGACCATATGAAATATTCCCGTTGTTACTCCAAAGTTTCACTGATCATCTCCTGAGGATATGAAAAGACAACGATGGAACTGCTATGGAAATTGTCCTCCAAAATATCATTAAAAGGTAAAAGAAACTAACCGCAAAACCATGTAGAAGAATTAGAATAAATGACAAAAGTTTGGTTGTGAACAGTTAAGCAAGTTTTAAAGGTTGAGAGAGTAATGACAAGGAGGAAGTTTTCAAGAAGGCAATGCCAGAGGATAAAGGAAAACAATTAATGCATCACCAATTGGTGGTGGTAAAGACTGGCATGCATAAGTTTCAGTTGTACTCATTGACACCCAGTGAAGAAATCTTTAATTTTAAAACTATGCTAAAATTCCTTGACGTCTCTATCTTGGTGATCTCCTCCTGCTCTACACTGTCCAACACATCTGTACTCCACTAATATTGGTCCCTGAGGATTCCTGCCTTGAATACCTCTACTTCTGTCGCTCACCATGGCTTTAAGCTCTGGAGTTTTCAGCAATAAATAACCTGTCTTGCCTCTGTTCAAACAGTGCTCTTTGCTCAAGCTTTTGGCTTCCAGAGTTGATATTCCCTTCAGGATTATGTGTCAAACTTTGATTATTCACCTGCTTAGCATTTTAGATTTAAATACACTATATAAATACAGGTCAATGTTGTTATACCGTATAAAGACTGGATGCCTGCAACATCATCAGGAGTAAGCTGAAATGGATTCACAAAAGAGTAGGTGGGAAACATCACAGCGCCTGAAACTTCAGAATGTCCAAGTCCCAGGGAGTGTCCAAATTCATGGGTGGCAACTATCTCCAAGTTGATTCCTAAAAAAACAACATTGAAACATTGTGTTCAAGGCTGGTTATACTAAAGTTTATTAAGTGTAATTTCTTTCATTACTTCTCAATAACGTTACTTAGGTCTTTTACAACAACAGAAATTAAAGGTGAGAGGAGAAAGATTTAAAAAGGACTGTGGGGTAACTTCTTTTTTTACAGAGAGTGGTTCAAGTGTAGAATAAAGGAGGAAGTGGTGGATGCTGGTACAATTAGAATGTTTAAAAGACATTTGGATAAGTTCATGTATAGGAAAGGTTTGGAGGGGTATGGGCGAAATGCAGGCAAATGGGGCTAGTTTAGTTTGAGAAGACTCTACAACAGAAATTGCTCGAGACACTCAGCAGGGCTGGCAGCATCTGTGGAGAGAGAAATAGTTAATATAAAGTGCTGCAACCCCTCTTCAGAAACAAAGGCCCTTCTGCTGCCAGACCTGCTGAGTTTCTCCAGTCATTTCTGTTTTCTCTTCAGATTTCTAGTGTCCACAGTTCTTTGTTTTATTTTGTGTCAATTATGTATGTTGCTGTTGAAATTGATTCTAAAGTTACAGATAAATAAATATGTAGTGAGGATTTTTGTTGTTCATTCATGGTGTGTGGGCATCTCTGGCTGAAGCAGCATTTGTTGACTACCCCAAATTGCCCCAGAGAGCAGCTAAGAGTCAGACACATTTCTGTGGGTCTGGAGTCGCATGTGGGCCAGACCAGGTAAGGATGGCAGTTTCCTTCCTTAAAGAACATTAATGAACCTGATGGGAGTTTTATGACAATTAACAATGTTTCCATTTGGCCTGATATTTTTTAAATTTCAGAATTTTGTTGATTTCAAATTTCACCATGGTGGGATTTGAACCCAATCCTCCACAATATTAGCCTGTGGTTCTGGTCTATCAGTGCAAAGACAATATAACTGCTCAACCACCTTCTTCAAAGAGATTCCTGCTTTCATCAAAATGTTTCTTATAGGTCACAGATTTAGATTGCCTCGAAGTGTTTCCGTTTCAAATGGAACCTTAAATGATCACAAGAATGAAAACAAGTAAATGATTTATTTGATTTCCAGTAGAACACATGTTGTGCTGGAAATCATGTACGTCAAATATATTGGGTTGGCATGGTGGCTCAGTGGTTAGTATTGCTGTTGCATCATGCTGGAGACCTGGGTTCAATTCCAGCCTTAGGTGACTGTCTCTGTGGAGTTTGCACATTCTCCCCTGTGTCTGTGTGGGTTTTCTCCCACAGATCAAAGATGTATAGGTTAGGTAGATTGGCCATTCTAAATTGCCCCTAATGTCCAGGTGTGTGTGGGCTAGGTGGATTAGCCAATGGAAATACAGGGTTACAAGGATTGGATAGGAGGAGTGTTCTGGATGAGATGCTCTTTGGAGGGCTGAATGGCCTGCTTCCATACTGCATGGATTCTATGATACTGGAAAATTAAACAATATACAATAAGATTAAATTTTCAGCTCCTTAACTTTGAATATAGAATCTCAAGCAATTAATTTAATGCACTGATACATTTCTAGCTGTTATGCACAGAAGGAATTGACAATGCCTGAGAGTCAACATAGAACAGTACAGCACAGGAACAGGCCCTTCAGCCCACCATGTCTGTGCCAACCATGATACCATTCTAAACTAATCCTATCTGCCTACACATGCTCCATATCCTTCAATTCCTTGCTGGTTCATGTGACTGTCTAAATGCCTATTAAAGTTGTTAATATATCTGCTTCTATCACCTCCCCTGGCAGTGTTTTCCACCCTCTGTGTGAAAAAAAACTTGCCTTGCACATCTCCTTTAAACTTTACCCCTTGCACTTTAAACCTATGTCCCTTAGTATGTGGGGGTAAAAAAAAAAGAGTATGACTATCCAGTCTATCTGTGCCTCTGGTAATTTTATATATTTCTATCAGGTTGCTCCTCAGTTGCCCTCAGCTCTTGCAAAAGCAATTCAAATTTGTCCAAACTCTCCTTACAGATAATACACTCTGACCTTGGCAACATCCTGATAAACCTCTTTTGCACCCTCTCCAAAGCCTTCCATTCCTTCATTTAGTGTAGTGACCAGAACTGCACATAATAGTCCAAATGTGGCCTACCTAAAGTCTTATACAGTGCCATTTGTCTTCTTTACCACCTTTCAGGGAGCTATGGACTTGGACCCCGAGATCTCTCCCAGTGCTCCTAAGCATCCTGCCATTTATTGTACGTTTTCCTCTTGCATTTGACCTCCCAAAATGCATCACCTTAAACTGGCCTGGATTAAACTCCATCTGTTATTTCTCTGTCAACTTTCCATAAGATCTATATCCTGTAGTATCCTCCAATAACCTTCCTCATTATCCACAACTCCACCAAATTTCTTACCATCTGCAAACAGACCACTAATGTTTTCCTCCCAATTATTTAGATGAATTACAAACACCAGAGGTCCCAGCATTGATCCTTGTGGAACACTGGTCACAGACCTCCAGTCAGAAAAGCTCCTCCACAACTTCCCTCTGACTTCTATGACCAATCCAAATTTGTAAGCAACTTAACAAGTTATCTTGGATCTTGGCAGTGATGATGGCTTTCAGTAGTTGTGCCTAATGTGGAGTATGCCTGAATGAAGCAAGTGTATCTGTTGTAAAACAGGAATGAATGGGGCTCACAGTGCCATTTCCCAATGGAGAAATGTAGCAAATCATTAAAGGATTACATATTAAGTTAATTTTCTTTCTCAGCTACTTCAGGTCAAAATTTCTCCTAGGGACTAGCATTGAAGGTACTTCAGTGAATGAAATATGTTTTTTATTCCTCAGTGTCAGTCCATGCTCTGCTGAATGAAGGGAGTTGTACAGTTACTCTGGGTGTGGCAACTGAGAGTGTGTGAAAGCATCCATAGCATAGTGAGGTCAGATCACATGGATCTGAAACCTTGGTCGATAGGGTTTCAAGTAAGATGGCCTCTCTTGCCATCTTCATGTCTATTCCATGCTCGTATCTATTCACTAATAAGAGTGTAGATCCCACATTACTACATAACGGAATAGATAAGAAACATGGGCAATTCAAGCCTGAAGAGAGGACAATTAATGGTAAACCATGAGGCCAACCCAGTGCTTCAAACCCTGAAATGGACAAAATACCTAAAGTAGACCTCAGAGGTGGCAATAGCTGGTCAGCAATGGATTTCAAGTTTGACTTAGGTACTGAATTGTGGAATTGGAAAGCCTGTGTTGAGGCTAGAAAAAGTGTAAGAGAAATCCTAGAGCAGAGTACGCAGTCTGCATAGGAAGAAACATTCACGTGCAGCAAGGCAAGTATCACCAAAACAAAAGTACTTATAGATTTGAGAAGAAATTAGCACTCAGGAAATGGATTGATGGCAAATGTATAAAGAAACAAGGCACATTCGAGGAACATAGGAACAGAAATAGGCCATTCATTGCCTTGAGCCTATCCCACCATTCAATAAGATCATGGCTGAAAGAGTCATAGTCATAGGGTTGTACAGCTTGGAAACAGACCCTTTGGTCCAACTTGTCCATGCTGTTTGCCAGCATTTGGCCCATATTCCTCTAAGCCCTTCCTATTCATATACCATCCAGATGCCTTATAAATGTTGTAATTGTACCAGCCTCCACCACTTCCTCTGGCAGCTGTCTGTGGCCTAACTTCATTTACTTGTCTTTGGCCCATTTTCCTAATACCTTTGCTTAACAAAAACTTATCTCTCTCAGATTTAAAATTAACAACTGATCCAGTATCCACTGCCATTTGTGGAAGAGAGCTCCAAACCTCTCCCACCCTTTGTGTGTAGAAGAGCTTCCTAAAATCTCGCCTGAACAGTCTGGCCCTAATATTTAAATGATGCCACTAGTTCTAGAATCTTCTTCCAGTGGAAATAGTTTATTTCTATCTACCCTGTCTTCTTCCTGTTAATATCTTGAAGACTTTGATCAGATCACCACTTAACCTTATAAATTTGAGAGAAAACAGGCCTAATTGTCTGTTCTCACCTCACATCTTAACTCCTGAAGCCCAGGTATCATTCTTGTAAACCTACATTGTACTCCCTCCAAGGCCAATATATCATTCCCAAGGTGTGGTGCCAAAATCTGCTCACAGTACTTAATGTGGTGCCTACTCAGGGTTTAGTATAGCTGTAGCATAATTTCTGCACCCTGTACTTCAGCCATCTAGATAAAAAGGCCCGCATTCTATTAGCTTTCCTGACTATTTCCTGCATCTGTTCATGACAGTTAAAAGATCTATTCACCTGAGCACAACCCCTCCCCTCCCAAAATCTCTTTGGACATCCATTGTATTCATACCATCATACCATCTAGAAAGTACCCAGATCTATCCTTTCTAGGTCCAAAATAGATAATCTGCCACAGTTTTGCCAATTCACTCAGTCTATCAATGTCCCTTTGTAATTTTATGCCACCAAACTATGAATGAACTCCACAGGAGTGAACACAAGTCAGATTTATAGAATTGTGAAAACAAAGAGAGAAACAAGATTAATGCTGGTTCATAAAAAATACTTAAACAGATAAAGAGTACGGATAAGGTACTTCGAGACAACAAGGTGCAGGGCTGGATGAACACAGCAGGCCAAGCAGCATCATAGGAGCAGAGAGGCTGACGTTTCGGGCCTAGACCCTTCATCAGAAA